TTTTATACTTTTTAGTGCATTTCGAAGTCGGTGTATTTTTTTTCTTAAAATTATTTTATGGCAAGTGTAGCGAACGACGATATATCGTCGTCCGGCACTAAAAGGGTTAACCTCTTATCTTTAAAATCCCTAAATTATGATATTTATATATTTTAGAATTTCTAAATTCTTAAATAATCAAATTTTAAATTATCAGATTAACAAATTCACGAGTTTCAAAATTCCTGAGTCTAGTTCCTAGGTTTCTACATATTTAAATTCCTGTATTTTCAAATCATGAATTATTCAAGTTTCCAAATCTTCGGATTCTAAAATCTCGAAATTTTTAAATTTTCAAATTCCTATATCTTCAAATATAAAAGTTTTCAAATCTCCACATTTCCAAAATCCCAGAAATTTTTCAATTTCTAATCCTCATATTTTTCTACATGTTTTTTATTTGAAACATAGGTTTGTTTGCATAAAGTATGATAAGACCATTTTTATGAAGTAGGTAACAAATTTCTGAACAAATCCGTCCATCACTTATAACTTTGATGTGTCATTTATAGAAATAATTGAAGTTTCAAAGCTCGGTGCTTGCTCTTCTCGTTTTCATGCGTCACGAGGCTGTTCAATTAATTGAGCCAAATCAGATCATGTGGATACCGATTAAATAAAGGCTTTCAATCGAAACCGCGGTCAGTAATAAATAATCGATCAGTTTGGATTTTGCTTGATCGTAATGGATCGATATATCTGAGGTTTATGATGCGCCCCCGATAGTAAACGAATTGTTTTAGTAACATGTCGATTCATAATTCATTATTTTGTCATTTTTACGTTATAATTCTTATAACTGGTAAAGCTTTCATATTGACGTAGATGTAATTATATTTTTATTTTAAGATAAATAATACAAAAAACTGTATTTTTTCATACATACTTATTTAAATTATAAATAATAAATGTTTATAACATTCTTCAAAATGTGAGTCAGTAAAGACAAGTTTAAAGAGGTCCAAAATAAAAGGCCCGAACGAAAATTTCAATAATTGAATCTTATTTCTCCAAAATTTAATTCGAATATCCAATAGAATAAATAAGAAAAGCAAGTTTTGTTTAAAAATCAGTGGTTCTTGCGGATTGTCTTGCTTTCCTAAACAATAGTTTAGGAATCTTGTTTATTTAACAGTTGATTCATATCGAAAAATTAATAGAAGTTTTTAAATTTTGACGATAATATGCAATAACAAAAATGTAGCAGTCGTAAGTTGTTCTATTAAATCCACGTTAATAAAGTGTATAAACATAATATGTTCTAATGTGTAAGTTAGTCCATTAGATCTGAATTAGTAGTTAATTAAAACGGTCCTTTTTTGAAGTCTCCGGAAACTTTGATGAGTGATCGTATATTATAGGATAAAATTATTAGTCTCGAAAGTTGGTTGAGCGAGAATGGTGTTAAATCATGACCATTGAAAAGACATCGATTATATAAGTTACGGTGTTAAAACGTGACGGAGAACAAATTGTTTCTTTCAATCGGACAATCGAGATGGAGATTCATTGTGTTTCATATTTAATTACATCGCGGGCCTTTAATTTAAAATTAATTATTCCGTTCGCGGCCGGGCCTTTGTTTCGTTTAGAAAAGTTAACGGCACAGGGGGTTGCGAGTGGGCTCTCTTGTAGGAACCGGTTCGAATTTATTGAAACAACATATAATTGCGGCGCGAACGCGCTGCTATTATTCGAATTTTCAGCCGACTCGTTCATTTGGTTGAATAATTTCAACTATTCGCTCCAGGTATTCCGCAAATTTAAATCGATTCTATGCGCCGAATCTTATTGGCCCGGCCGGCGAACACACGTAATATAAAATTAGCGATGAAACGCGTTGATAATTGGATATTAAAATCTTGCGATAACCGCACTTTGTACGCCCCTTTTCCTCTTGCAAATATTTATGGACCCCTGAATTTGTTATGATGATAGCACTGTTTGATGCACAATTTCATGGAACAAATTGTTAATGCCAGACCCAGCCACATTTGCAATAAAATTATTTGAAATGTTATATCGAATATGCTTATCTTATTTTATAATTATTCCCTTTTCAGAATACAGTCGAATGGTTCTATTTCGGAATATAAGCTCAAATATGATCGTTATGTGCTTAATAGATAATACTGAAACTATTATCTATTCTACTGAATAATCTATTATATTATTAACGTTTTCAGAAATATTTATGATAATGTCATTCGTATTAGTGTAATAGGCTCGCCGTACCCGCGGTTATGAGTATGTATATAACGAATTAAAAAGGTTCAGTTATAATGAAAGTTGTAACTAACTGCATTAACTAAAACTTTATTTATACTAGCAAGCACTGTAAACTTCGATTTGGAAAATTGTGATATAGAGGAAAGGTTCGTAGCATTCATTGGCTTTTACTTAGAAATTTTTATATTCGTAAATTTAAAAACATTCAAAGTCTGAAGCATTAATACTCCAGAAATTGTGAACTTTAGGGATATTAAATATTTAGTAATTTAATTAAATCTGAAGACTTAGAAATTTGAAAACGTAGAACTTTGGTAAGTCGGAGAATTTGTAGATTTGGAAATTCGAAATTTTTGATTTAGAAATTGGAAGATCGAAGAATTAAAAAATTTGTAATTTTTTTAAATTGAAATGATTTCAATATGAAGAAATTTGGATTTCAGAAATTTGCAGATTTAGAATTTGGGGATTTGAAAATTTCCGAGATGACATACATCTATAATATTCGTTCTGATCGGAGACGCACGTGAACTGAAAGTAAAAGTGATTGCTTCCAATTATTAGATTTATTTAGTTAATCTTATTTTAATTACAGATCTGGTTCTATACCTGTCATTTTATTGCAATATCGTTAAAGTGAACGTATATTATATAATTTTTTTCTTGCCGTATCGTTAGATTTTTGCGCATAAAATGATTACTTTATCTCTAAATATGTATTTCAGTAATTACAACTTTGTTGAAATAGTGATTATTTATTTCAAGAGTCGTCATTTTGGAGCTTATGAAATTTTATATTTTTTTAATTATTTATTCAAATCTTGTCTTTAATTTTTTTAACGTTAATAAAACAAAACCTGTAGCGAGTAATTCTATTGTAGATTTTTCGTTTTAATATATGTTAATAATTTTAGGGCGGATTTTTCAAAATGCATATTAACACTTGATGAGATAAAGAACGACTATTACATGATAACTCAGTGTCGATACTTCATTTATTTGTCCGCAACATTGACATGAGTATGCATTTGACGATAGTTCTAGTATTAATTTATCAGTAAGAAAACAGTACACGAATTGTACTATGCTCCATTTTTTTTTTTTTCATTGAATGCTTAAGGCTTAAGGTCACATGCACCTTCTTAGATTATTAGTGACCATATTTGATTTGGGACTGTGTCGTAAACTTATTGGTATTACATTTGATAATAGAGACTGATGTCTATCAAAAATGTTAGAATTTTTCTGCACAAATTTACATTTTGTAGCATACTTGTTACGTTTGATATGTTATATTGTACCCTTTTAACGCGGTATTTAGGGCATTGAATTAGGATATGGTCAATGGAAATTTGTGCATTGCACACATCACAAATCGTTGGGTTTGATTTAGTAATAAAAAATGAATGTGCTAATTTGGTGTGACTAATTCTTAATCTAGTTAGTATTACTTGATCTTTTCGATTCATAAAGATTGCGAAGCTAATATCGTATATTTTTATCACGAATTTTATGTAAAGCTATAGGTAGTGAAGTTTTCCAAACTGTATTCCAAAATTCTTTTACGGCTTTGATAAGCTGTTTTTGAAGGTCTTGCTTAACAGTATCATATGTAAAAATGTATTATGGTGTAATATAAAAAAATGAGTAGCTTTTTTGTCTCTTTTAAATCATTTGTTGTAACTGATAATCACGCATATTTTACCGAATATATTAAATTAAAGAAGGTACTGCCTCAAACTTCACATTGAGGTAGCATTGTAGCTATTGGATACTGTTGACTCGTGAGCAAAATTGTCATCTTTTATATTGAAAGATACTTTCGAGAATGCTCACTTCACACGCAGACTTCACGGCGAATGAATATTTGAAAATGTTGGATAGTGAATAATATATTAAAGTTCCATGTAACACTTATTATATTTAATAATACAACTAAAAAAATTTTAAAGTATAAGTTTGTGAATTTTATCGAACGGCACGTAGAGGATTATTTTAATGTTGTTCGTATGCTAGTATGTTTGTATCTGCTCTTTCTCGCAAAATTTTCGATCGACGTTAACTTTTCCTTATAGTGGGGGCTTTTTCTAACGACGTTTCTTATTGGTTATTCGAGATTTTCTCTATTTTGGGGAAATGACATACATTTGGCGGGGACTACCGTTATACTCAGGTAGCTTCTCTGGAGCTTCGATGTTTAGGGCGGTTAAGATTGTAAATTTTTTAAACTTTCCTAAATGTGTAAAACCGGTGACCTTTTTTATGGTATCTATAAGGGTAATTATGTATATTACTGAACTTTTTGGCTTTATGATCTTAGGAGGTTTCCTCGAAATATGTTTTTCAAATTGCTCTACCTGAATAGTTAAATTTTGTTATCTTGGGAGGTCATGAGTCACTTAAATGAATTATAAAGTACAATATTTGTTACGCAGTAACAGATACTTTTATGCTATCGGACGGACTGTCTTAGACTTATTACTGATCTGCCAAGTAATCTTAAATGAAATGGTATTGTAAAATTAACTATAACAAATGTAGTTTGTCTACAGGTTATGATAATATATAATAATGTATAATATTGTATAATAATGTATAATAAGATAATAGATAACAGTATTTATACATCTAATTATAATTAGCTGTCACAACATTTGTAAAAAGGAGTAATGTTTCATAAAATTTCCTAAATTATATTTTATTTATGTTTGTATTTTGTTCTTGTGTTTCAGGTATGTACTTTTCCAACATAAGCATAGAAATGAGGCATTTATTTAATGTGCGAAGTGGTAAGTGATAGATGAAATATAATCGAATAACTTGCATGCTTTGGAATGAATATATGGTGTATTTAAAATTAGCGATTTATCAGAATCAGATGTATTTAGAGAAATTACAATTGAATGTATCAGATACCGTTTCTGTATTAACTGTATCAGATTTGTAAATGATAGTAATATTAAATCGCTTAAAATTAAATATTTCGGAACATCAAAAGTCTGGAGAGGTAACACTACTGATTGTGAGTGTTATCCACACGCATGCGATATACTAATTATCAAATTTGCTGGTTGGCTCACTGGAGCCAGTTATAAATGTAAAGTAAATAATAATAAAAAAAAATCAAAAGTCTGATGCAATTTGAAAAATATAAACTAGTACGTTAGTTTGAAGTTTAAAATTTGCTGAAAATGACTATGCAAATCTTTTATAAACGTTATTAATTTCATTTAATTGATTGTTAAGAAGTCGTATTATCAATAACTTTTTATACTGTACAATGATATTGTTGCCTAACAATTATTCATTTTATATTAAGAATATTAGCTTTGCAACTTCGAAAAATGTATATAATGATTTTCAACTAACATTAAGCTTCAAGTTAATTTATGAGTGTTACTTTGTAATGATTTCATGTCATTGAATTTTGTTAAATTCTGAAATTGGCCATTATTTGCCATACGTAGCGATTCATATATTTATAATATTGATCAAGTATTTATACATTTTAATTGCATTTTAAGTGTTTTTAACAATAAATTTACGATACTTTTATATTATTAAATTCTGTTACATGTTTGATATGTCAGAATTGCTCATTTAGTACATTATGGTTTAATACATGAAAACAAATAAAAAATATTAACGAACAGATTACACAGTCATTTCCATAAATTGCCATATAAGCTCAGTTTAAGTAAAATACGTTGTAATTTTTGGATGCTGTATTATCAATTCGTATAAAAGCTTGTGATTCAAAATCATTTACCGTTTTCTTCAGTTAGCAATCTTCCATTTTATATTCACAAAAAATTATTGAAGAGCTTATGCATTTTTTTCCTCAAACTGTTTGTTTCAGTTTTACACATCAGAGTACTATTTTACCGTGCTGCTATTATTAGATTACTGCATATGAAATAGCCGTTTGTCGAAATAATAATGAAAGTACTACAAAGTAGCACTTATGGCGTATTTCATATGTAGTATTAAATATTTTTGCGAATTTAAATGAAAAATACGAATAAATTAGTTTTAGTATAACAGAGTAGTGCAAAAATGTGTGCACGTTAATGTAAACGTTGCGTGGTTATTTAATAATGGAAAACGTGCGAAGGAACCGATGGCGGATGCTTGGAAATCTTGAAAATTGCCAAGGATGAAGAAAGTTTGAGTAGCAACACAGCATGAACTCTTTTAAGCCAGGCAATATTCGTTCGATCCAATTTTCTCTTATGCTAGTATTCACACAGTTATTCAGGTAGTTCCAGTGGCATGTACTAACCAGTATGCGATAAACAGGATGTTCCATTCTGGAATGATATATAAGCTGTTCGATAAAAGCTGTTATACCTAATGGCGAAGAAATATTTAAATTTTCTCTCGCACGATAATTCTTTTAACAGGATACCTTTGAAACTTCCTTGTACTGTCGCATAAAAAGTGCTTTCACTTTGTATATAATGAAATATTGATACCTGTCAGAAAATTAATTTTATAATACAGAATTATAACATTTTTAATTCTGATGAATTCAAATTTTAAGTTTAACAAGCATTCAATTTGAAAATTTTTATTTTTCTTATTTTCAAATATTTAAATTATTAAGTTTAGAAATTTAATTATAACATTTAAAGATTCATTTTCAATTTGATATTTGACTCTGCATTTGGAAATGTTTTTAATTTTAATAGGCAAAAGTTTTCAAATTAAGGAATTCAAGAATTTAATAATTTCATACTTTTAAATTCAGAAATCTTTAAATATATGTATTGCAAATTTTAAGAATTTTCAAAATTACACATTTCCAAATGTTTAAAATTATCCATTTAGAAATTTAAAAAGTAAAAAATTGAAAAGTTTTCAAATTTACAAAGTTTCAAAATTTGAAATTTGCACATCCACAAGTTCACTGATTTTAAAAAACCTTTGAATTTAGACATTTGTATATGTACATATTTTCAAGTTTGAAATGATTGAAGTTCTAAAATTGTTAGAATTATATATTTTTAAATTAAACAATTAGAAAATTTTCATATTTGCAAGTTTTTAAATTTAGAAATTTGTATGTTTATACACTTTTCAGTTTAAAAATGATTAAAGATACAAACAGTGATAATCATAAGTTTTTTAATTAAAACCTTGTGAATGTGAGAAATATTTAAATGTATGATATTTCAAACTTCAATGGTTATAAATGGGAGAATTTTTACGTTGAGAAATTTATTTCCGTGTTTACAAATTCATTTCCATGTTATTTCAAAATGAAATTTCGCATTTTTAATTTACTCCATTCAACGATTAAATTCCACGCTTTAAAATTCTGATAGACATTCCCAGTTTACATTCCTGACAGCTACATTTCATTGGACACAATATTAATAATTTCGATAACAATGAAATTGGTCGGTACCAAATTCCAATACTCACTTCTCATTACAATTTTCACATTTCAATTTCGTTTCTCGTAATTTATTACCGTAATGTCTCAGAATTGCGGTCCGCAATTCTAATTTACTATGATGAACGATTAAGATGCCATTTTACAAAGGTTTGATATACACTTCTAATTTATTTCTCTGGAAAATTGTATTTCATTTAACACAGCTTTAATTACTTCTGTCAGAAGTTAACTTCCATTTAAACAAATTTCTGCCATATTCTTTAATTTCTTACATTTATTTTCATAATATCTTGTAAATCGGTTTAGAGTACATCATTTCTTTAATATTTGATGTAAAATTATAATGGAAAGAAATACTTCTGTATATTAATATTTCGAAGTGTAAAATAGTTAAATATTTACAAATTTCTAAATTAAAAAATTTCCAGATTTCTCACTTTAAAAATTTGAAAATTGCAAACATCCATGTATCAAAATTCCTACATTTTCGAATGTTCATATTTTTAAATTTCTGAATTAACAAATTCCTAGATTTCTAATTTTAGTAATTTGGCAGTTGAAAATTGTTATGTTTTATAAAATATGTTGGTAAAGTTTGACGACAAAAAGCAGAAACACCCTGTGTCTATTTAAAAACATATATCAAATAAGCCAAACTTAACGTGCGAATAAAAAATATATACATGATTGTTTGTTAAATAAAACAGCAGACTTGTAACAATTGAAATGGTCTGTAACCGAAATACAGTGATGTGTCATATGAGTAGAGGTCTTCACATTAGGTAACTGCATTTAACTACAGTCCATAACGTCCTTCACGGTTCTTAACCTCTCGAAAGTGATCAAACTGTTCTCACACCGCCTGTTGCCTCAGTTCTTCGGTGAATGCGATATGCAGATGACTTTCAAAGCATTCTCTGCCTTCGAGCGTAGAGTATCACGGTCAAAGGACAGACGAATGGTTATAGCTATCACGATGAGTATAGACTTCAATGAAGGTCCGAGGGACGAGAGGGATACAAATTGGAAATATTCGACGGAATGGAAAATGATACTCGAAGGTTTAATACGATTTATACGAGCTTCATCGCAAATTTAATTTGGTCCTTATGAATCTGCATCGACTGTTCCTGTTAATTGAATAGATATTGCTCATTATAAGTAATCGTACCAATAATCGTCACTTTTCGTTAATCTGTGTTTGCATCTTGCCTATCGCCGCTACAAATACGATTTTTTCTTCTTCCATTTTTTTTCAGTATAACTATATTCCTGATGTAAGACGGAACAAATTCGGAATACATCGAAAATTTCTAAATTGCTCCAAAGTCTAAATCTTCACATATCCAAATTTTCATATAATAAAATTAAAAAATTCTAAAAATCTCAAATTTAAGTACTTTCGAATTTATAACATTTTTGATACCGCCTACGTCATGAGATTTTTTAATATAAAAATTCTCAAATATCTCAATTTACCTTCAAATTCTCAAATTTTTGTTTTTTCGAATTTCGAAATTATTAAGCATCAAAACTCTTTCTAAATTTTTAAATCTTCACATTTTCGAATAAAAATTCCTAAATTATTCAAATTACATTCATAGGAATTAAATAAGAAGTAGGGTAATGGGGATCTTAGAGGCTCCAAAGACTGAAAACGCAGGATTGTAGGAGTATGTCGGAATTTAGAGATTTAGGAAGTTATAAATATGTAAATCTGGGGCATTAAAGAATCTGCAGATTTAGAAATTTATAGATATGGAAATCACAACTTTTAGGAACCTATGAATTTAGGGAACTATTGATGTAGAAATTTCGGGTTTAATAATACAGGAATTTAGATATTTAGAATTTAGGGATGTATGAATATGTGAATTTAGTGCCCAGGATCTAAGAATTACCCACATACATCTTGAAATAACACACGCCCGTTTTGCTTGTACAATATAGTTCAATAATAGCGTAACTTCATAATATATTGGCTAATTAAAACTTGATAAGTATTCAGTTATTACGATTAAAGTTATTGTCTTACTTATTAAAAACGAATATAAAATAGAGATTAAATATATATGTCCAAGAGTTGGTATAACATATTAAAGAATGGTTGGAATGCACGCTGGTTCTTTTAGCAGTTTAATTATTTTACGCTGATCAATATTACATTCATAATTACGCCGACGTTAAGAGTTTCAGGGTGTTTCTAAGAACGTGTTTACATTTTTTCTTTTAGAACGTTCAACATCACCGGCGAGTTTCAGTTAATTACGAGCCAGAATTTCTGAGCGGAGTTCTTCTCAAGATTTTATATTCAGAAAATTGTGCGCAGCAAGCATGGCACCCTTTTAAATATTTTACTTCGTTCCAGCCAGTTTCTGGTGATTCCTCTTCTCGTGTTTGCACGCCGAAAGATCGTACGCGTTTAATAAAAATGCTACGATAAATAACCTTCTCTCTTTCTCTCCTTCTCTATCTCGTTCGTGTACACTTATCTGAAAAACTGATAAACAGTTTTATCCTTTAATTTATTTCGAATATGTTTCTCAAGCGTGATTACACTTTTACGATTGTACCCTGCAATATTCCTC